GCGCAAATTCTGCCCTAGATAAACCACCAGAAACCCAGAAATTCAGCCGGAATAGCAATCCAAAACGAAGTCAGAAGAACACCAAAAACAGTAATGTATTCAAATTAGGAATACGTGTTCGTGATGCAAAGTTCAATGGTCTGATGAACACTTCGAATTAGCTTCTCCATCTGAGTGCCCAACGTCAAACCCATCTTCACCCACAGGTGGGTCCATTTCATCCTTCAGCTTCGTACAAGTTGTCACGTCTTGCTCGGCCGTCCATCCTGACATGTCGCCTTTGACGAAGGAGGCCATAAGTTCACCCCTGGTTTTCCACACATGGTAACACGCCGCGTTGGTAACTTCTTGTTTCTTTCTCCTACCATAGGCTTCCAGGATTCTGACTCGTTGACCAAGTGACCGAGCCTGGGCGAATTGTAAAGAGACATGTTCGTTCAGCTCCTGAATCAGATTCACATCCGTCTCAAGTTTGGACTCCAATAAGGTTTTTTCCTTCTTCAGCTCATCAACAGCTTTCTCAAGCAAAGACAAGCGCTCCGCCGCCACTAGACTAGCTTGAACACTTTGAGAAAAGCACGAGATGAATCAGCAACTGATTTAAGGTATCACAAAAATATAACTTGCTTTTACCTGAAAGGCATAGGCGGATGAAGCAGCCAGTACGCTAGTAGGAGGTAGGCCGTTAAAGACATCAGCGGAAGGGGCTAACAAAAGTTGGGGCATCTCATTTTTCATAACAAATGCGTCCTTCAGACAACAGAAATCTAGGGAAAATGAGAGTTGCTTAGTCACGTGAGAAGATCCGGACTCAGCTTTATGATCACCACGAAGAATATTTGAAGATTTGTTCACTTCAGGAACAGAGAACTTTGGCACTTTCTGGGGAGATGCAGGTAGTTTCAAAGGGAACCTTTTTTTCGGGAAGCCATGGTTAATAGTTCATGGGCAGAAGGAATCAAGCGAGAAGTACTAGACAAAGTAGCTAGCACAATACACACAGATAGTCAAGAAAAGTATCAAATAAGATCAAGAACAACGACAGAGGAATAATTGATTCATAAATGCATACCAGTGTTAGGAGTAGAGCATTTGGCTGGAAGTGCATGAGTTATCTTGAGCAGCTGGGAACATGACTTGCAAAGGGACATAGGCACTAGTTCCCTCACCATCTTCCTTGGAGTTGTCTGATTCCTGTGTTGAGTCTTCTAGGGAAATCACAGGCGAGCTTTGGTTCAAATTATACACATTGGGAATATGTCTACAAGAGCATCTTAGCCCCACAGACTTGGACTGGTCAAGAGGAGGTGACATACCTTGAGGGCCGGAGACCAAATTCGCGTAAAGTCGATCAGTGGAAGGAATAAGAAGAATTTTTGCAGTTCTTTCTGCAGAATGTGGGCCAGGAACTAGAGGGATTGTTTTTCTCTCTGCATCGAAAGCCAGCAGTAACAAATTTCATACATATAAAAAAATAATAATAAATACACTCATTTGTACATATGTAACGAGTTATTGAAAATACAGGTGGAACAATGAGTTCGAAACTAACCTTTGTGCACATCGTCTTCCAGAAGCGCCCCATCTGCCCTATGGATGAGAGCTTCTTTACCATCTTTCACAGCCAATGTGAAACGACCGGCTCCGGAGGACCGTAGATCATACGTAAACCCGAGGTCTTCGATATCAAATGGAAAAATGTATTTCTCGCTCAAAACTTCAAGGGCTCGGAGGAACCTCCACACTTGGGGCATGATTTGAGATGGAGATACTTGAACGAAATCAAGAAAACTTCAGACAAAGGAGGAGAAAGGAAATTTCATACCGATTTTGAACGGAGTTTACCCAACCTTCGCAATACCAGTCTAACCTCTCGTTGGCCGCTGGGAAACGGATGACCACGTCGGGAGGGAAACCAATGGACGACTTGATGAAATCGACATGACTCTCCGAAAGCTTCGCCGGTTTGGAGTGCTGAGGATCTAGGATGTGCTGTGGAACGAAAGTTTGAGAAGCCATGGACAATGCGAAGGTCACTGAAGAGATGGATCTTGAGAGACGAAAAAAGGGAAAAGAAAGACGATTGGAGAGTCAGTTTAAATAGAACAATTCGAGTTCGGAGGCAAGGCAGGAGTCGAAGAGATTCTGAGTAATTAGTTGGTTTTGAATTCTTCTGGTTAGGCGCCAACTAATACTCAGAATGGGGGCAATTGTTGGGCCACGGTTAATTCGACCCACAACAATCAAAGTGGACTGTCGGGCTAGAAATAATTGGGCTGGAAGAATTAATTAAATGGAAGCCCAAAGCAAGAAATAGTCAAACGAGTAGGATAAGAACAAACGAAGTGGAAGTGTTCGACTAAGGGATAAAGGCAAAAAAATTAGGAGGCACTTTCGCTTGGCAGTTGACCCATCTACGTAGAGTAGCATTAGTAGATAAATAGAGAGACCTACAGAGAAAACAACACACGATTATCCCTGTATTCAAACTCAGAGATTTATCAATAAATTATTTAACTTTCTCATTATTTTCTTTGGATTATCTTGTGCGATCCCACATACAAATTATTATATTGTTTAGAAGATCAAATTAATTCTTGCCTAAACAGACGGCTTTCGTGACCCTCCAAACCCTCTAAATGCTCAATTTTTGAGTTCCCCCCGATTTGGAGGGTTTTGAAGGATAATTAACGAAATGATAATTTAAGTTCAATTAAAAATAAATATCAGTTCAATTATTTGAATTGTCATATCTCAAGGTGATTTTAATTATAATTCATTCAAAAACTCTCTTCCTCCAAATTTATTACTCCCGAATACAAAGAAAGGCTTTCTCACCCTCCCTGACCTCTCATCTCTTTCCCTTCCAACAAGATACCTCCAAAACCTTCTCATTCTCTTCCCTCCAAACTCCCAAACATACCTGAGATAGTCTTATTTGGCGATTGCAACATTAAAATACAAAAGATGCACACAATTAAATCAATAAAATAAGAAAGATTAAAACCTGCTTGAGGCCCATTAAAATGTTATCAATAACATACAAAAAATATACTGCATATAACTTTAATATGTTTGTTAACGTGAGTGTTAAAAATAGTGTGATTAGTGAATATCAAAAAAAAGTGTGAGCATGTGTGTATTTTTATTTATGTTTTTGTATATATAAAGTACTTGTGTCATGTGTGCATACATGTATACTTATATAGTATACATACGTAGTGTGTGAGTGCGAGTGCATCTGAGTGTGTGAATGCATTTTTATGTCTCATAAAAAATCTGAGTAAGTAAAGATCATGGTTGATGAGAATTTGATTGATTTAGAGATTATTTTAGATTTTTTTATGTGAAAGTAACATGACAATAACAAACCATAAAAAACGTAAACCATAAATTTGAGGAGCATGGATGGAGAAGCTCTTCAGGACCGGCTATAGGGGGAGGCACCTAGGCATATGCCTAGGACACCAAAATAATTTGGGGCATCAATTTTTAAAAATAAAACTATTATAGTTACATAATCAGTATTTGGTGCTCCGTCTTCGGTACTGGAAAAAGAAATACTCCACTACGCAGAAGTGAAGTATTTAGTCAATATAGTCAATATAATTAAACATGACCAAGGAAGAGAAAATAGTGTTCTTAATTTAATTATACACTATGAAATATTCAGAAGTGATTATGTACTTCAACGATAATGTTTTAAACAATACTACCCCCGTCTCATAAAATTCTTCCCACTTTGACTTGGCACGGAGATTAAGAAAGTGGAATAAAGTGGAAATGTATGGTTGTGGTTGTGTAAGAAAAATGTGAAATGAATGTGAAGCACACAAATTGTAGAAAAATGTTAAGTGGGAAGAATTTTTTGGGACGACCCAAAAAAGAAAGTGGGAAGAATTTTATGGGATGGAGGGAGTATATAATTTGTTACTATATACACAGTACCTAATTAAGGTGTAAAACATTATTGATTGACACCGTATGAAAATGTAATTTTAATTTTTGTCTAGGGCATCAAACAAACTAAAGACGGCCCTGATGCTCTTATGAGTAACTTATTTAATATCTCCTGTGAAATGTAGCATCAACTTTTGAAGAATCAAATCGGCAAGGAGTTGGGCAGAGGATAGGCCCTCAAATGAATTCAATGGACTAGTCTTTCTAAAATATTGTCTTGTTGCAGATAGAAGTCACTGCTTCATATATTAGTCATTCTTTTTAGTTTCAAAGTGTAATTATTTCTGCAAGTATTTCTTCCACTGAATGTTGATGGCAAGCATTAGGTGTTGGCTGAGATTGATCTATTATGCGAAGTCATTAGAGTCTAATTCAAAGAAGATCACAATGATTATTTGTCATGTGAGACCCTTATGCGTGAAACTATCTTACCTGTTTGGAGTCATAAAAACACTGAGTGAAGGAGTTGGAGACCCGGAATGTTGAAGTTGTGAAGGGTGTTCCTCAACAATGTCTTGGATTGTGATTTGGTTTATTTCACCATATTTATGAATACATAAACCTCGTAAACACATTTGTCCAGAATTGTTTTTTGTTAACGTATTGCAGAACTGGTGGATATGGGGTAATGATCATGACATTTGCACAACACTTATTTCTTGGGTTTCCCTTGATGCCAAAGCCAATTTGCGATGAGGCTTAGCCGATTGACGAAGTTGAGCGAGTGATCATGTCGAGAAACACACAACAACATGTTGAGAAACACACAAACACTTGTTTTATTTTTGTCACACTAATGTAATAAAACACTCATTTCAAGCATTGGAATATGTTTTTTGTCACGCTTCCAAAGCATTTGAAGTTTTATTTATGCTATTTCAAGCTTGTTTTATCTATGCCTTCATACTTTGTGGTTTAAGTTATGACATTTCAAGCGTTGGAATATGTTTTTTTGTAACGCTTCGAAAGCATTTGAGGTTTTATTTATGCTAGGCCTTCATACTTCGTGGTTTAAGTTATGACATTTAAATACAGCATGATCCATGCATAAATTATCTAGTATTTCATGTACTATTAATTCATGATCCAGATACAATTAGATTTAAGTTTATATAATATTGATGCTATACATGAATCTAACCATCTGAGTATAGTATACTCGGGCTTTGAATAACGGTGTGGACCTCGGCTTGGGCAACACCTCGAATAAATTCATGTATTATGCATGTTCATGTTGTGTGTATTAGATACCTCTCGGTGTAGAAGAAAGAATATTTGTATCACTTTGACACTTTGTCTACATTGTTTGCTTTTTCTCTTGTCTGCATCTCCTAAAGAGATTGTTTGGAGCTTTAAACAGGTGAGATTCTCTCCCCCAAAAAATGCATTGATGCCCTAAGGGAGGCTGTAGGAATGCCAAACGCACCATCCATGTATGTAATGTATCATATTAATGAACTATATAAGTTATAAGACATTGTAATTCATTGGTTTTGATATGTTGCCCACATGGCATCACAATCAACAATGTAAACCATCCCAAATCTTAACATCCATTTTCAATTCAACAACAGAAAGGGCATATAATCAACCCATTCTCATTGCACTCTGGGCATTTCTTCCACTCACCATCACCATCATCACTGTCATCATCATCATTCTGATCAAGATGAAGTTTTCTGCTCCCACTGCATCTGAAACACAAGATGAACCTCATCCCCACACACCCTCCACAAACCTCTTGTCCCACATCAAGAGGAATACCATCAAGAAGAGGCCTAAGCTTCCCTTGTTCATGTAAGGCAAACACTTCTTCAGCTCCCCCAATGTACCTCCCCCTTATGAACAACCTTGGTGGAATCAACTTCATCTTGTTTTCTTGTCCTAACATTCCCCACAATTCCTCCTTGAACTCCGAATGTATCGAGATATCTCTCTCGAAAAACAAAACCTGAAAGTTCTCGAGAAGCGATATCATGTTTTGACAATCCTCATACGTCTTTGGAACCCCTCTCAGCCCTGTTGTGTATACAATTACTGAATCACTCCCCCCTGGTGGACATTTCTCCTCAAAATCTAAAAGGGAGATAGCCTTTCCCTCCATTTTTCTCACTTTTGCAGGAGGTTCATCTTTACCTTCTTCTTCAATTGAATCAATCTCGGAAAAGGGGGCAAATCCTGATTCCCACTTTGTCAAAGATTCAATCTTTGCCTTCATGAGACTGAGATTTTCCAATCTTTTTGCCTCGGGTGAAGGTCTGATGTTCTCTTTGTCTTCCACGTCATCAAGAAACTCCATTTCTTCATCTTCAAGATCCTTCATCAGCTCAGAAACTTCAATGATTTCTGGTTCTTGATCTTTGACAAGGCTCTGGAGAGTACATCTGGGTTCTTCTTCTTCTTGGAAACAAATGGGGATCGGCGGGGAGAGGGGATCGGTCGCCGGCGGCGGAGGGGATGCCGGAATGTACCCATCAGAAGCCCTCAAGCGCATGATTCTTTCCCGCTTACGATGTCCGATTGTTTTGAGCTTTTTGAGAAGCTTCACCTTCACTGTTTTCATTTCTTCGAGGCTACTTAGAAAACATCAGATTTTGGGTATTCCAAAGTTTTTATTCAGAACAGATAAATGAAAGATTACAGCTATCTGGGACAGCGGTAACGGCTATAAACATGATTCATGTTTTGCGTGAGAAAATTTGTTTTAAAATTTGAATACGATTTGTTTACTTTGATGTAAAATATGATGATTTGTCAAAATGAAGACTAAAGATGCCAAAAAAGACATCAACACTAAAGAGTGGACGTACTTTTGCCATTACCACTGTTCATTATGAGTTAATGAATTCACGTGGGTCCACTATTGCAAAATTAGCTTTTTCGACCCATCTTTTGTGGGGTTATTTTCCATGGAATCGTTTTGTGGGAATATTTTTGACATGGGAAAAACGAGTTTTTGCCACTTTAAATGACACTTTTTTAACACTTAATTTTGATTTTTTTCACTTTTATTTTTTCAATTATTGTACAAAGGACATTTTTGATATACATCTCTGCTAATTTTCATATTTAGTTAGTGACACTTTTGGACATTTGGTACTTCACGTATTATCCTAATGAAGTTATTGTGTCAAAATTATAGTGGGAGGACAAAAAAATATCAATTTAATTGACAATATTTAGTGGACAATATCAATTTGAAACAAACGAATAAACGTGTCACTCGCACAATAATTAAAAATAGTCACAAAGACACTAACACAATAGTCAACGACTAAAAGTGACAATAGCTCTAATAAAAAGTACTCTCTTTGTCCTATTGGAAGGTTCTCATAGCAAAACGATACGATTATTTAGGCAATATTTAAATAAAGTATTTTGAGTATATTTTGAGAAATAATTTTAATAGGTATTATAATGTAGTTAGTATTGATAATTGTGATGTTATAAATGTATTATTTTTAATATTTAATGATTAATTTATCACTTAAGATTGTTAATTGTTTCCTAAAATGGAAATGAGAACCTTTTAACGGGACGTCCAAAAAAATAAAGTGGGAACCTTCTAATGGGACAGAGGGAGTAAATGATTTTCATCACAAACAATTTTGATGTTTTTCATTTCATTTTTAAAGAATTAGCAATCCGAACGATTTTTCCTCGGACATGAATATCATATTTTATGTATATATCATGATCGAAGAAAAAGTATATAGAATAAACTTTTTCCTTCTAATTACTTTCTTCTATCAATGGCATTTCAAAAATATATGGACTAATTGATTTCATTTCTCTACTATTATCTCCACAAAGTAATTTCTTTGCTTTGTACACTTCTAAGGATGAAGGCAATTCAAGGTTTTGTGGATGGTGTCACACAAGCATCTTAACAAGGTAATATACTCCCTCCGTCTCCCTATTTTTGTCTAGATTTACCTTTTTCATCCATCCCTTTAAGTTTATCTCATATCATATTTGCTAATATTTCTGTGGCTAAAATTCATTCTCACTTTATTCACACTTCATTAATTCAATATCAACCATACAATTCTACTTTTTCTTAAAAACTACATCACACCTATTTGTCCCAAACTTAGGAGGATGGAATTAGTATTGTTTATCACTTACCCCGTATATAGTTATATTGCAATTTTGAATGTTTTTTTAGTTCACATGCTTGATCAAGTGATTATATAATATACGAATTTGATTGTTGCTTTAATTTTCAAATATTACTCGGACTTTGTTTTTTTGAAATAATATTACTAAGACTCATTAGATACTTTTCTTTATCATCATCACCACCCCCAGCACCATTATCATTTCATTATCATTATCACCTTCATGCGGGTCCCACTCCAACTCCCTAATGAACTTCTATTTTTGTTACCGTTCAAGAAAAGAGTGAGAGCATAACTTATCATGTGTGACGTTATTCTTATTTTTAATATTACCTCCCTCTCAAAATATTCAAAAGATATCATTAGTTAAAGTTTACTATATATTATTGATTAAGAAAAATCAATTTGGCACATTTTTTGTGGACAAATGAAGGATGATGTGAACACTAATCATTATGAATCTCACAACCTCTTCTTCATGACACTAATCAAATTAATGGTATTATATATGTTTGGGTAGATATTTTTATGTTATACTCCATAATAATTTGTAATCTCGCTCATATAAATTATTATTTTAGATACGTCACTCGCTATCACAGTATCAACTTAGTGTTGTTAATCATAGCATCAAATTTTCCGATGGTTATTGTCTTCATTATCATCCCACTCTTGCCACTAGTTCAGTGCTACTAAAGGGAAAGGGACAAAGGGTGAGGACCTCCAAAATTAGAGTTTAACCTTCTAATTAATGATTGTGCTACAAGTACAATATAATAATCTTTATAAATTGAGAAGTAATACGTGAATATGTGTGTTTCTACACATTATATCTCATTTATTATTTACATAATATGATAATACCTATCAGTTTCGCATGACCACCACATATGTTTTTTTATTGTTTTTTAGGGAGAACTATCAAATAAACCCTCGAACTTTCATAAAAAATTGCAAATAAGCTCTTTTATAGGAGGTTCTGTCTGGCCGTCGCCATTTGGGGCATTTTCCGGTGGAAATTTTTTATGATTTTTTTGAGTATTTTCTTCATTAAGTCTAGTTTATTCATACCAAATTTCAGCTAAAAATTCAATCGGGAAGGCAGTCAAATGAATTTTTGAAGATAACTGCGCAGTTAGATGGCGCAATATATTTCAAAAAATCATTTGACAGTCTTCTCGATTGAATTTTTAGCTGAAATTTGATATGGGTAAACTAGACTTAATGAAAAAGATACTCAAAAAATTTCATCAAAAAATTCCACAGGAAATCACCCCAAATGACGACAGCCGGACAAAGCCTCCTATAAAATAGCTTATTTATACTTTTTATGAAAGTTGGAAGGTTTATTTGATAGTTCTCCCTTCCCTTGTTAGCAACACTTGTTAAGTCTTTTTTTGTACGTAGTACTAACATACATAGTATTTGCCTATACCGAAACTTCTTGATAGTTGATATTCGAGCATTCGTATTTGCCGTCTCTTCATTGGTTCTTAACTTTAAGTTGATTTATTATAAACCATTTATTTTAAGAAGTCTACTTACCTATACTATAAAAAAATCCTTATTTCTTGGTCGAATTTTAAAACTCCGTCGAATTTTATGTGAGAGCATTGGATTAAAAGCAAAGTTTTTTGAAATCGTACTCGTAAAAGAAAATTGAAGTAAAAGTGAACAAATAACATTATTGAATGACCAAAAATGAAATGTGATCATCCGTATAGAAACTACTCCCTCCGTCCCGAAAAGTTTCACCAAATTGATTTTTCTTGATCAATGAGAATCAAATTTGACTAATGATATTTTTTAATACAAATTATTTCGAATATGAAAATTGTATCAAGTCTGCATAGACGCATAGTACAGTATATCTAAAATATATTTTAATACAAATTTGACTAATGTTCCTTATTCAAAATATTTCCATAAAAGTATAAAATATATAAATTATATACAAATATAATAATTAAAATCATTACCCAAAGTATGGTTGGACTCGGGCCGGGTGGCCCGACCCGGAACCGGCCCGGGACCGGTACTGTTCCGGCACGGCCCGAACCGGTGGCCCGGTCAGTGACCGGTCCGGGTAGGCCCGACCCGGTGGGTTTCCAGTCCGGGCTCGGGTCACCCATAACAAGGCCCGGCCCGGCGGGGCCCGGTTCTTGCCAAATTTATTTATTTATTTGGTTTTTTGCATTTGTTTGGGCTCCACCGGGTTGGGCTTGATGTTTAGGAGGGGTTTGGGGGGTTTGGGGGTGAGGGGGGGGTCAGGGATGGGTAGCTAAGCAAAAAAAAAAACGAGACCCGACCCGGCCCCGGCCCGGACCCGGTGGCTACCCGGGCCGGTCCCGGGTCCAGCTATATAGAACCGCCGTCCCGGGCCTGACCCGGCCCAAGTCCAACCATAACCCAAAGTTTGTCATCATTGACCAAGAAAAGAGGACGGTGCAATGGTGATATTCAAAAAACCATTAAATAACAAAGTATGTCCCGAAACTGGGTCCACCCTAACAAGGGTTTTATTCATCTAGCCCGGTTAGTTCTGACTTTGCAAAAGTTATTTGGAACTTTTTTATGATACGGAGTACAAAATTCTATCACCGTAATTAGTTTTCTGTAACTTGACAAGTCTGCATAGTACAGTATATCTAAAATGTAGATGAAAGAAAAGAGGGTACAAAAGTCTTAAACACTAATTAGGGATTTAGGGGATTCGTGAACATTGAAAATTGGCATATTGCATAATCGTATATCATAGTCCATGGATGAAACCTATGAGCATAATTCAAAAATAGAGATTGTAAATAATAGAAAGCCAATTACTGCGGCCATACAGGGCAGCATTTTCTATAACAATATTGCAATAATGTTCTAATGGGGTTGATGGCATAAAGTTCATATCACAAATGATGGGCAGGTCCTCATTCATATCTCTATAACTTACCAGCCATATACGGTTCATCAAGAGAGTAAGATACAGACTTGGAAAAGCTGTTCTTGGGACTTTATTTGGCTCTCCATCTTGCCCATGGAATGCTCCGATTGCATGCCATGGTCCACTATGGAGAGGATGTAGAACTGACTGACACAGCCCCGGAGCTACTGAAGAAATGGAGCAAAAACTGAAATAACTTCTTTGTAAACCGGCTTCTTGAAATCCACGGCCTGCAGTGAAAATATTTCAGCCAAATGTTACCAAAAAGGATAATAAAGGATCCAATTGCCTCTATCGTCATCACAACCTTCTTCGAACTATATTATTAGGTGGTATAAATTTAGTGTCCATTAAGGTAATGTTTGGAACTCACTGGCAGAACTAGAGGGTGACGGTGCCGGCGTCGGCGCCCCCCATTCTCCAGCGGCCACAATGTATATATATGTGTGTGTATATATCAAGAGCCCCCTCATAAAATTGCAACATATACTTCTCTGCACAAAGAAAGAACAACTGTTCGGATTGTACAGATGGTAGGCGCGCTGCATGCTTTTCCTTTAGGTCCACTGTTCAAATCCCACGGCTGCATTTTAGCTCCCTTCTTCTTTGTCAATTTTGTAGCTTCTTTGATGCATTTTTAAACTTCTTTTATTTTGCATTAAAAAAATCAACTAAATAATATTTCTTGACAGATACTACGTAGCTTTCTATTAGTACAAGACATTGCTTCACTTAAAGCTTTAATTTCTATATCTTTAATTTTGAGGTCTTATTTTTCTAATACAAGACGTTTATAACATCTTTTTACTATTTCAGAACAAAATAAATAAGCTAGCAAATTTTTACCATTTCTTCCATCTTCAAGTATTGGCCCATATCATTTAATGTGTAAATTATCAAGAATAATTCTAAACTTTAATTTTAACATAACTATTTACTTTTTCAATTGTTTAGTACAAAATGTCAAAATACATATAGATGTTTTAAAATAACATTATAAGTATATTAAATTGAAATAAACTCGCTCTAGAAGTAAGACACTAAAAAGAAAGTTTATAACTAAAAGAGAGAGAAATTCTATATATTAATAAAGAATACATAAAATGTATATATAGGACCGTTGTTATTTTCTTCCTAAAATAGGATTGAGGAAATTTTGTAGTTTAGATATAACCAAAAAAGACTTATTTTGGGTATAAACATAATTACACCTATTTGTTCACTTTGTCTATATTTTACTCCTATTTGGAGCAATTTCTCTTTAAAAATGTATGTATATTTAAATCGATGTGTAATAATATATATATTCATATATATATTTTGTGTAATAATATATACATATATATTCACCTCTCACACACTCACACACATATATTCATTTTGTATGCTCTAATGATGTACACTTTAGTGTTAAGGCACTGATTAAATGCATATACAAATGGATTTAAATATACCAATAATGCAGTTAACTAGAAAAAAAGCCGCGCTATTTAGATAAAGGAATAAAAAGTGCAGTTGTTCGCACTTCTTATGAGACGACTGTCTTTATTAGAACTGCACTATAATTTATTTATTTATTTATATTTACATATAATTTTCCATCATTTCCAATGAAGCCAAAGACTCACTACTATTTGGCTTGGGAATATGATGGAATAAAACAAAATGACCCACTATATTGTATGCGCGTCTTTGTTATGAAGCAGCAATCATTCCATGCAATTTTCGACGCGATTTTCATCGTGGTTCATCCGGAAATAGACTTTGTATGCTTTAGTACATGGGTAAGGCTACGTACATCCGACCACCTCTTACCCCACCGTAGGTGAGAGCCTTTGCGGCACTAAGGTAATGTTGCTGTATTTATATTTGCATATAAGAACATCCCCTCAAAATATTTTCTGGTTCTGCCACTTGGCACTCCATAAGCGACCATATAAGTTAGCTTAGCTTTAAGGAAGGTGTGCAGGTAAGTTTCATTTGGTTGGAGGAAATTTGTAAAGCTCAAAATTACTTAGTAAGCTTTTTTAATAGTTTGCCAGACATCTAGTTTGCTCTTTTAATAGATCCATCTTTCATTTCGTGATTTCGTCCTTTAGTTATTTTATATTTAATTTAAATAAAATATTTCATCCCTTGTTAGAAACCGTAGAATTACTCCCTCCGGTCTTTTTTAGTTAGGCATATTTGACTTTTCTAGTCAATGATGATAAATATTGACTGATAATATATTGAGAAAAGGATCAAATTAGGCCTTCTACTATTATGAAATAGTCACATAAGGCCATGTACTCAATAAAATGTCATATAAGTACCTCTACTTGTAAAAAGCAATCAAATGAGTTCTAATGACCTATTTAACACCTCTTAATCCTGATTTCAACGTACTTCTGACCATCTTTTTAGAATACATTATACGGCATATGTCAAATATTTAACTAAGATTGGCTAAAATACAAGTCAAAAAATCAACATGTAAGCTAAAATCGGGATTATGAGGTGTTAAATAAGCCGTTAGGAGGTACTTATATGACACTTTATTGAGTACATGGCCTTATGTGACTATTTCATAATGGTAGACCTTATTTGACCCTTTTCTCTAATATATTTGTGGAAACCCTAGTAGTATTGGGCTTAGCCCATTTGTATATCTTGTATAGGAAACCCTAGTACTCTAAATATAGCTATAAATATAGCTTATTGTATATCATTTTAATATCTAGTATATGAAATATAATAATACTTGTTCACATTGTATCAGAGCCGCTATGGCAATTGTTAGGGTAGTGTTATGATTTTTTTTTCGACGTCATTTCCGGCCAGAATTCCGGCGTGAACAGTATCGCGACTTTCAAATGAGTGCTTCCGATAGTGATATCAACCCACCGCTGTGCTCAAGGCTTCATCGCGACTTACCGCAGGAGGAATCACATGTGCCGCATCACCCACGCGTTGCTGAAGTCCGCTCCCGGAGTTTTACATTTTTTGCAGATCTTTCTCCTTCTGCTTATCTGGCGTTGACACCTCCAACCACCAGAAGTTCCTGAGTTTCCGGCGACCTGAACGACATAAGTTACACCGCCGTCGACCGAGTCACGCGCCGCCGCTGTCAAACGCGCCGCCGCCAACCGCCGCCGACATCCGCTGAACACCGTCGTCCTTCGCCGACCGCCATCAACAAGCAGTCATCCGCATGTCCCCAGAAAGGTAGAGGTCTGTTCTCTTCATGCCTTTGTAGCTACAGTTCTTCAACATGCCTGCAACCTGCCTGGGGTTTCTTAGGCCTGGGGAATTCTTAAGTCTGTCACCGCTGCTTATTCTCTCTGGTTGGCTACTTTGTTGTTTCTTTTTAAATTACTCATATTTACTTTTCTTGCAGCAGTAGTTTTTATATTTACTTTTCTCTTTGCAATTTAAAAAACAAATCAAAAAAAAAAAAGTAAAAAAAATGTATTTTATGAGTTCTGACAGAGGAAACAACACCGGATGCTCAAGATGGAATCGTTCTCGATGTGATTTTTGTCATAAAATTGGTCATGCTACAGACAGGTGTTGCCAATTACATGGGAGACCTCCTTCCTCAGCCCATGTTGCTCGGCTACCATCATCTCCTATTGTTCTATCACCGGCAGAATATGCACCATTTCAGCAATTTAAGTTGGCTAATATGCATTTATCCACACACGGGATGTCTACCGCTTGTGTTTCAAACACAACAGGCTCATGGATCATTGACTCGGGTGCCTCAGACCATATTTCTGGTAATCCCCATCTTTTATCCCATCTAACCAAGCACTGACATCTTCCTTTGATTACTCTTGCTAATGGCCTTCAAACTTCGGCTTCGGGTATTGGGCAAGCACTTCCACTTTCATCTTTACCATTAGACTCAGTCTTATATGTCCCAAACACCCCTTTTAACCTTGTCTCTGTCAGTAAAATTACATGTGCTCTTAATTGTTCCGTAACATTTTCTGCTGATTCTGTGATTGTGCAGGATCGTTGTACGGGGAAAACGATTGGCATCGGCCATGAATCTCAAGGTCTGTATCATCTCCATCCTCTTGATCCAACCGTTTGTGTTTCAGTTGAACCTGCTATTACCTTACATAACCGTCTGGGTGATCCTAGTCTCTGAAAGTTTCAACGTATGGTTCCAGGTTTCTCAAATCTTTCATCTTTAGATTGTGAGTCATGTCACCTTGGAAAACAACCTCGTAAATCCTTTCCCAGACGAGTCAATAAACGGGCTACATCACCGTTTGATTTAGTTCATACAGATGTATGGGGTCCGTATCGAGTCACTTCTACTTTAAATTTCCGTTATTTTGTTATTTTTGTGAATGATTATTCCCGTTACACATGGTTGTTTTTAATGAAAGAGCGTTTTGAATTGTTTCATATTTTCCAAACTTTTTGTGCCGAAGTTCAAACTCAGTTTGGTCATTCTATCAAAATTTTACGCAGTGACAATGCTACAGAATTTTTTGGGGCATCCTTTAATCAATTCATCCATCACGAGGTATGCTTAACCAATCTTCTTGTATTCACACGCCTCAACAAAATGGGGTTGCTGAACGCAAGAACCGACACTTGGTTGATATTGCTCGTACCCTATTATTACATTCCCATACACCACCTCAGTATTGGGCAGATGTTGTGCTCACTGCATGTCACTTAATAAATAGAATGCCTTCCTCAATTCTTAATAATGAAATTCCCTATTCTATTTTGTTTCCCGATCGTGATTTATTTCCATTACCACCTCATGTGTTTGGGTGTGTGTGTTTTGTCCATGATACGACCCTTGGATTAGCTAAAATGTCGGCTAGGTCAATAAAGTGTATCTTTCTTGGATATTCGCGTCTCCAAAAGGGTTATCGTTGTTATTCTCCATTACTTAAGAAACATTTTATTTCAGCCGATGTCACTTTCATTGAGTCGTCCTTTTATTATCCATTATCTTCAGTTGATACCCCGTCATGTTTGGACCTCACCTCATATCTCCGACCCATCCATCTGGAGACTCCCATTCAACCCCCGTCTGATGGGCACCCAAATTGCTCTCCTATGGTAGACCGCCCAGTACAAGTATACCATCACGACCTCGACCTCCTCCCATTGTGCCTACTGTGGCCACGCCGATTGATTCCCCTACGACGGATCCCGTATCTTCGCCATCAGCTACCCCAACACCCGAAAATACTCCGAATAATTTGCCCATTGCCCTCCGAAAAGGTACGCGTTCTACTTTGAACCCACATCCCATATATAACTTTTTGAGTTATCACCGCCTCTCTACACCTTACTATGCTTTCATTTCACACTTGTCTCATGTATGCATTCCTAAAACCACACGTGAGGCCCTGGACAACCCGGAGTGGCGTAAAGCCATGTTAGCTGAGATGGAGGCACTTCATTCTAGTGGCACATGAGACCTAGTCCCACTGGCAAATCAGTGGTTGGGTGTCGGTGGATTTACATGGTTAAAGTTGGGCCTGATGGGAAGATTGATCGTTTTAAAGCACGCCTTGTGGCGAAAGGGTATACTCAGATATATGGTTTGGATTACACTGACACTTTTTCTCCTGTAGCGAAGATTGCATCAGTTCGTTTGGTTTTATCCATGGCAGCAATGAGTCACTGGCCATTGTTCCAATTGGATATTAAAAATGCATTCCTTCACGGAGATCTGCACGAGGAGGTTTATATGGAGCAACCACCTGGATTTGTTGCTCAGGGGGAGTCTGGTATGGTGTGCAGATTACGTCGTACATTATATGGCTTGAAGCAATCTCCACGTGCATGGTTTGGGAGGTTTAGTGCCGTTGTTTGCAGCTTTGGCATGATTCGCAGTGATGTCGATCATTTTATATTCTATTGACATTCTGCTGCTGGCAACAAATGTATTTATCTTGTTGTGTATGTTGATGACATTGTCATTACAGGTAACGATGATCAAGGAATTGCGCTCCTCAAGTAACATCTCTTTATCAAATTTCAAACAAAAGACTTGAGATACTTCCTTGGCATTGAGGTCGCACAATCTCAAAATGGAATTGCTCTCTCACAAAGAAAGTATGCCTTGGATATTCTTGAGGAAACAGGTTTGCTAGATTGCAGGCCAGTGGATACACCAATGGATCCGAACGTTAAACTCTTATCAAAACAGGGAGATCTTTTGCCCAACAAGGAAAAATATAGAAGACTCATCGGCAAATTAAATTATCTTACCATCACGAGACCAGATATTTCATTTGCGGTAAGTGTTCTCAGTCAGTTTCTTGATAAGCCATGTACTGGACATTGGGATGCAGCTATCCGAGTTTTGAGATTGTTGTTTGAAGATCGAGGCCACCATGATATTGTGGGATACTGTGATGCAGACTGGGCCGGATGTCCGATGGATAGACGTTCCACTTCGGGATATTGTATCTTGATCGGTGGAAATTTAATTTCATGGAAAAGTAAGAAACAAGATGTGGTTGCCAGATCTAATGCTGAAGCAGAATATCGTGCAATGGCCCTTGCTACATGTGAAATCTTATGGTTGAAGCATCTCCTCCAAGAGTTAAAATATGGAAACACAAAACCGGTTCAACTCATGTGTGATAATCAAGCTGCAATGCACATCGCATCAAATCCGGTATATCATGAGAGGACAAAACATATTGAAGTTGATTGTCATTTTTTCCGAGAGAAGATCGTGAGTGGACATATCATCACAAAATATGTCAACACAACTGAACAACTTGCAGATATTTTAACTAAGTCTCTTAGAAGTACTAGAGTGGGGTATATTTGTAACAAGCTTGGTACATATGATTTATATGCTCCAGCTTGAGGGGGAATGTGGAAACCCTAGTAGTATTGGGCTTAGCCCATTTGTATATCTTGTATAGGAAACCCTAGTACTCTAAATATAGCTATAAATATAGCTTCTTGTATATCATTTTAATATCAAGTATATGAAATATAATAATACTTGTTCACAATATTATATTTCTAAGCTAGCTTATAAGCTTATTATCACCCCACACTAAATGAGATTAACCGACATATCAACGGTAAATTATTTATTAAAAAGCAAAGGAGGGAGTATATTTATGAGATTACATTTCTTATCTTCTTTGTCATTTTATCTTTTTTATCTTATCGTTTTATCTTATCTTTATTATCTTATCTTATCCTATCTTATCTTATATTATCTATCTTATGTTTTATAGTTCCGATTTCATATTTCAATTCATGTTGGCCGACCATAAACTCTTTTGGGACTAAGGTTTGAATGTTGTTATTGTTGAAATACTTCAAGAGTAGAAGAGTGGACTTACATGATCCACAACTTGTTCGGGTGACATCCAAGACCACTCTCCAAATTCAGCCTTCTCAGTCCCATCACCAAGAAGATTGACTTCCTCGTCATTTCCAGTAAACTTAAGGAGGAACCTAAACTTATGAACATATTGAAATTAGAGCAACATGGACAATAGTAATTTATCAATAAATTGATGACAGAGAAGTACACAGCAGACAGATGCACAGAGCTACAAAATTCCCTTATCCAGCTACACGGGAACCAAATGGAGCATAAGAATATATAAGATCAACCCACCACTTCTGTGCTTGACCTTTCCAGTCAGAACCCCATCGCTGGTTGAGTTTTTCTCTAACATGGAGTGGGAAATCATATGTTAACCAGTGTGGTACCTGTATGTAACATATGAGATGTCAAGAACTAGTTATGTAATTATCATGTTGATGATATATCAAGTCGAAGCAAATCAAGAATCAACAATGAGGCTCAGTACAAGCTCCAATAACTCACTTATCACAAATATGCTATACCTACGTCCAAATAAAAGAAGTCAGGCTTGATCAAGTTACAATTTTTTTTTGAAATTTTGTTTTTTGGCTTGACAAAAAAGTTCATATTGAACTCGCTTGTAAAATTTTTGGCAGATTTCATGAGAGATTACAATTTTGTGAAACATGGATTCTTTTTTGGGTGAGGAAAAGATGAATTAAAAGGGCCAACTATCTTTACAAACGTCCAATTTCTTGTTAACGAATGAAGATAATGGCTCCAACATGAACTAACAAGCTTAAAATCTACTTTTAACCTCAGCAATGATTTCTGCAGAAGTGACTCCGGTTTCTTCTCTTAGTTCTCGGATGGCAGCATCTCTTGGATCTTCATTCTCATCTACACCTCCCTGTTTCAGAAAACAGTATTTGTAAGTCTTCACAAGAAATATGTATCAGAAAAATCAATATCAGATGTTATCTTTTCACTGAGAACTGTGACGACATTGCCCACATACCATGGATACCGATATCCTAAATCCACCTCATACAATACATTGTTGTATGTCTCTTAGAGTCATTGTTTTACTTTTTTATGAATGCACTTCATGCATTTATTAATTGATAAGCAACATGTAGTTTCTACCCAACATGTATGGGATATTGGGATGCCAAATACATGTTTAGGCAGACAGTATTGGTTTGTTATATGTCTCTTAGAGTCATGGTTTTACTTTTTTATGAACGCACTTCATGCAATCATTAATTGATAAGCAACACATGTAGTTATGATAGAACTTGTTCAGGTATATAGAAATTTACAGAAAAGAAGCTGATAGGGACACGGGCACTGTTAATAAGGAGAATAGATATTATGGCCAAGTATATTCTAGAAGGAATAAATAGACTAGCTGTTAATTAGTTACTTTCTGTTATTTGCTTGTAACTACTTTCAGTTAGTCTAAGAAAGCTATAAATAGAATAAAGCTGGGCAGGGTCGAGCAGGCTATTAGACTTTTGGTCCTTTTGGTCTTGGGACTGAGAAGAATTGAGAACAGTTTTCTCTCTTCTTTGGGACTCGTGTACTGTTTACCTTCTCCAATAAAATTGCAGATTGTTTCTTGAGCTAAATTTGCTACAGATTAGCTAGATTTCATAGTGATCTTTGTTCATTACCTGCGCAATCTCTATCAGTGGTATCAGAGCACGTTGATCGCTGGATGATCTGTACGCGTGCTAAAATGGAAGGTCGTGTGACGGATTTAGAAAAAAATCTGAGAGAGACGACAATGACACAAGCTGATATGGTGAGGACGATGGCCGCTATACAAGCTAGCCTCGCAGATATACAAAACAGACTTCCAGGTCGTTCGAGGAATCGATCGCAGCATTTGAATTCTTCGCATTGTATTTCTCATCACAAATACAACTGATAGTTCAGAAGGTTCAGATAATCATTCTGAGTATTCTTCTTCGCGACACCATCAACATACTGGACGGAAAATAGATGTACCTATTTTCAATGGTGAAGATGCTTTTGGATGGTTGTTGAGGATGGATCGCTATTTTCGGTTGAATCATACAGAAGAGGATGATAAAGTTGATGTTGCTGTGGTAGCCATGGAGGATCAAGCTTTGAGCTGGTTCCAATGGTGGGAAGGCCAAGCACGTCATAAGAACTGGAAGAATTTCAGGGAGGCTTTGACTAATCGATTCCAACCTGAATTAGTGCAGAATCCTTTGGGACCTCTACTTAGTTTGAAACAAAAAGGAACTGTGAAAGAGTTCAGAGAACAATTTGAAGTGGCTATTGCTTCTCAAGGACATTTAAGCAATGAAGTGTTGAGAGGAATATTTTTAAATGGTTTGAAAAGGGACATAAGGGCTGAACTGAAACTATATACTACCAGGACACTAGCTGAAATCATGGATATGGCCTTGTTAATTGAGAATAAGAACATTGAGGCAATGTACATGAAGAACAAGGAGGATGGAAAGAAAAAACGGCAAGGTAAACCTCACACTGACAGTCCCTTCCAAAACTGGGGAAATATGAACAAATGGAAGAGCAACCCTAATCCATCTACAAGTGCTGGCAAGTTGACAGTGGAAAATAAGTCCAAAGAGGAGGTGAATGCGCAAAGTCAGAAGAGGAATGGTCCCAAATTGTCACAAAGTGAGTTGCAAGAAAGGAGTAGGAAGGGTTTGTGTTTTAAATGTGGTGAAGATTGGAATAAAGGACATGTTTGTAAGATGAAGAATTACAAAATGATCCTAGTAGAGCAATCTGATGGAGAAGCTGATTCTGAAACTGAATCATTGGCTTCTGGAGATGAGAATACTATCCAAATGGATTATAAGACTATGCAACTTTCAGTATTAAGTAAAGAAGGCATACCTTCTATGAAGACTTTCAAGGTGGAGGGCAAAATGAAGTGGCAAGGAGGAGAACAAATAGTTAACATTCTCATTGATAGTGGTGCTACCCACAATTTTATGTCACAGGACTTGGTAGAGAGGTGCAAAATTCCTTATGTCAAGGATATGAGGTACAGATTGGGAATGGTGAGTGCATTCCAAATAGTGGCAGGTGTACAGGGGTGGATCTGAATATACAGGGGATTGATATCCAGCAGACTTATTACTTATTAGAGTTGGGAGGAACTGATGTAGTTCTGGGAATGGAATGGTTGACTGAATTAGGAGATGTGTAGGTGAATTTTAAAAATCAGATGATCAAATGGCAGCAACAAGGACAGAATTACACTATAAAAGGGGATACAGCATTGAATCAAATGGAAGTGTCTCTGAAAACCGTGACTCACATATTACAGCAAAGTGGAGATGGGTATTTGCTATATTATGAGGGCCAAATGTGTATGATGGAGCAGATTGAAAGAATAGGAGGGGATTGGGAAGGTTCGGTAGCAGAATTTCCAGAGGTATTTACTTCTAAATTGAAGTTCCCTCCTGCCAGAGATTGTGATCATGCTATAAATATCATGGAGGGGGCAAACATTCCTAACCTAAGGCCCTACAGGTATTCTTTTGATCAGAAAAATGAGATAGAGAAGATTATTGGTGAAATGCTAAATTCTGGAATAATTAAACATAGCAACAGTCCCTACAGCAGTCCAATTTTATTGGCCAAAAAGAAGGATGGTGGCTGGAGGTTTTGTGGGGATTATAGGACCCTAAACAAAGTGACTATCCCTGACAAATTCCCCATTCCAGTAATAGAGGAGCTACTGGATGAATTAGGAGGTGCAAGAATATTCTCAAAACTGGATTTAAATCAGGCCATCATAAAATTAGAATGAAGGCAAGTGACACTCATAAGACTGCATTCAGAACACATGAAGGGCATTATGAGTATCTAGTCATGCCATTTGGACTGACTAATGCCCCTTCAACGTTTCAAGCCCTTATGAATGAAGTTTTGAGACCTTTCCTAAGGAAATTTGCCCTTGTATTCTTTGATGATATACTAGTTTATAGTAAAAGTAGAGAAGATCATAAAGATCATCTAAGGATGGTTCTGGAGGCATTGAGGAAGAATGATTTAGTGGCTAATCAGAAGAAGTGCTCTTTTGGTCAAGAACAATTGAATTACCTAGGCCACATCATCTCTGAAGAAGGGGTAGCAGCTGACCCTAGTAAAATTGAAGCCATGAAGAATTGGACTGTACCTAAAGACCTGAAGGGATTGAGAGGATTTCTGGGTTTAACTGGGTACTACAGGAGGTTTGTGAAGGGTTACAGCAGGATTGCTGCACCTTTAACAGTCTTATTGAAGAAGGATGGGTTTAGATGGAATGAGATGGCCGACCAAGCTTTTGAAGATCTTAAAGCAGCTATGATATCTTTGCCAGTATTGAGGGTCCCATATTTCAGCAAATTGTTTATTATAGAAACTGATGCTTCAGGGAAAGGTTTGGGAGCTGTTCTTATGCAGGAAGGAGGACGAGTTGCTTATATGAGCAAAGAATTATCTCCCAAACATCTAACTAAATCAGTTTATGAGAAGGAATTGATCGCAATTGTATTTGCCATCCCGAAATGGAGGTCATATATACTGGGGAGAAGGTTTGAAGTTCACACTGACCAAAGAAGTTTGAAGTACTTGACTGAACAGAAAATAATGGGGGATGATCAACAGAAGTGGATAGCAAAGCTCATGGGTTACAACTTTAGCATTAAATATAAACCCAGGTGTGAGAATAAAGCTGATGATGCCCTTTCCAGAAAATCTAGTTTTTCATCCTTATCCATAGTTACTTGTCAAGAGTGGGAGGGTTTAGAAGAGGAGTTGCAGAAGGATACTAAATGTGGGGACATCATACAGAAGGTAATCAGTCAGCCAGACCAACATATGGATTACAAATTGAAAGGAAGGTTATTATATTACAAAGGGAAGCTAGTACTACCTACTAAAGGATCTGGTAGAGTCTTAACTATATTGAAGGAATATCATGACTCAACAGTTGGTGGGCATTCAGGTTACTTCAGAACAATGAAAAGGATATCAAGCCTATTTTTTTGGACTGGAATGAGATCTGATATTAAAGATTACATACAAAGTTGTGAAGTTTGTCAAAGAAATAAATATCAGGCCCTAAAACCTGCAGGTTTACTACAACCTTTGCCTATTCCTAATCATATATGGACTATATCAGCATGGATTTCATAGGTGGTTTACCTAAATCTCATGGAAAGGATACTATATTGGTGATTGTGGATAGGCTAACTAAAGTTACAAATTTCCTGCCCCTATCGCATCCTTTTAATGCTAAGGAAGTTGCTGAGAAATTTGTACAGGAGGTTGTCAGAATTCATGGATTCCCTAAGTCCATTGTCAGTGACAGGGATCGTATTTTCCTTAGCACTTTTTGGTCAGAATTGTTTAAATTGGCAGGGACTCAACTGAAGTACAGCACTGCCTACCATCCCTAGAGTGATGGACAGACAGAAGTGGTTAATAGGTGTTTGGAAACCTATTTGAGGTGTGTAACTGGAAGCAAACCTAAGCAGTGGGTGAAGTGGTTACCTTGGGCTGAGTTTTGGTACAATACAAATTATCATATTTCTCTAAAGAATACCCCTTACCAAGCTTTGTTTGGACAAGAACCACCTGCCACAATCAGAGGAGATGTAAGCTTAATTGCAGTAGCTGAAGTATCTAGACTAACAGCTGAAAGGAATGAGGTATTGAAGGAATTGAAAGAAAATTTGGCTAGAGCTCAAAATTTGATGAAACAACAAGCTGACAAGCATAGAAGGGGAGTGGAGCTGGCAGTTGGAGACAAAGTATTCCTGAAAATACAGCCCTATAAAATGAAGAGTTTGGCTAAAAGAATCAATCAGAAACTCAGTCTCAGGTTCTATGGTCCTTATGAAATCCTAGAGAAGCTGAATCATGTGCCTTTTAAGCTCAAGTTACCAATAGATAGTAGAATACATTCTGTATTCCACATATCTTTACTAAAGAAGGTGCTGAAACCTACTGTTCAATATCAGGATATTCACAGGTGCCTCACAGAAGAGTGTGAACTGCAAGTGAAACCTGAAGGAGTCAGAGAAGTCAGAGTTAATCAGGAAGGGAAGAAGGAAATCCTGGTGCACTGGAAGGATTTTCCTGATTTTGAGGATTCATGGGAGGATGAACAAGTGATCCAAGATCAATTCCCAGATTTCCAACTTGAGGGCAAGTTGGATTTTCAAAAGGGGAGTATTGATAGGGACACGAGCACTGTTAATAAGGAGAATAGATATTATGGCCAAGAATTTCTAGAAGGAATAAATAGACTAGTTGTTAATTAGTTACTTTCTGTTATTTGCTTGTAACTACTTTCAGTTAGTCTAAGAAAGCTATAAATAGAATAAAGTTGGGCAGGGTCGAGCAGGCTCTTAGACTTTTGGTCTAGGGACTAGGAAGAATTGAGAACAGTTTTCTCTCCTTTGGGACTCATGTACTGTTTACCTTCTCCAATAAAGTTGCAGATTGTTTCTTGAGCTAATTTAGCTACAGATTAGCTAGATTTCATAGTGATCTTTGTTCATTACCTGCGAAATCTCTATCAGAAGCAAAAGTATTCAAGAAACAACTCAAAGCTTTATTAATGGTGAAAATGATTACAGCCGAAGCCCCCCCACAAGAGACAATGAATCTCAATCCTCCGAGCCCAGACTAACAGTCTAACAGCCTGTCTATCCCAGTCCAGAATCATCTATTTATATCTTCCCAGCCTAACAGAAAGGTTGTTAATAGCTAACAACCGAAATAACTATCAACTAACTATTCTATTTCCCCCTTCTAAAATAGACCTTGCCAAAGTATTTATCCTCCTTATTAAGTGGAGTAGTATCCATATCAATACTCCCCCTCTCAAAATCCAACTTGTCCTCAAGTTGGAAATCTGGAGATTGTTCTTTGATCACTTGTTCAGTTTCCCAAGAATCTTCAAAATCAGAAAGGTCCTTCCAATGCACCAGGACTTCTTTTTCTCCAGCATGATTAAATCTGACATCCTTCACCTCCTCTGGCATTACTTGCAATTCACACTCTTCTGTAAGGCATTTAGGAAGATCTTGATTGGTAGTTGTAGATGTCAGCACCTTTTTCAATAGAGATATGTGAAATACTGGATGTAGTTGACTATCCACGGGTAATTTGAGCTTAAAGGCCACATGATTTATCTTTTCTATAATCTCATAGGGACCATAGAACCTAGGACTTAACTTCTGATTTATCCTCTTTTGTAGGCTCTTCATTTTGTAAGGCTGTATCTTCAAAAACACCCTGTCACCAACCTCCAGTTTCACTTCTCTTCTGTGTTTGTCTGCTTGCTGCTTTGGCCAAATTTTCCTTCAACTCCTTAAGTATCACATTCCTTTCAGCTGTTAATCTTGAGACTTTAGCCACTGAAGTCAAGCTGACATCCCATCTGAATCTCTGATTATTGTAGGAGGCTCTTGTCCAAACAATGCTTGGTATGGTGTACTTTTTAGGGAGATGTGATAGTTGGTGTTGTACCGCAATTCTGCCCATGGTAACCATTTCACCCATTGTTTAGGTTTCCTGCCAGTCAGACATCTCAAGTAGGTTTCCAGACATCTGTTTACGATCTCTGTCTGCCCATCACTTTAGGGGTGATATGCAGTGTTGTATTTCAGTTGGGTGCCTGCTAATCTAAACATGGGTGCCTGCTAATCTAAACAGTCAGACCAGAAAGAACTCAGAAAAAGGTTATCCCTGTCACTCACAATTGACTTAGGGAATCCATGTATTTTCACCACTTCTTGAATGAATAGTTCAGCAACTCCCTTAGCATTAAAAGGGTGAGATAGAGGTAGGAAGTGTGCAAATTTAATCAGTCCATCTACAATCACCAGAACAGTATCTTTACCCTGAGATTTAGGTAGCCCACCTATAAAATCCATACTGATGTCAGTCCAAATATGGCTAGGAATAGGGCTGTAACATGCGTGCAGGTTTTAAAGCTTGATACTTATTCCTGTGACAAACTTCACACCCCTGAATATAGTTCTTAATATTTGATCTCATTCCAGACCAATACAATAAGCTTGAGATCCTTTTCATGGTTCTAAAATAACCACAATGTCCTCCAACTGCTCAGTCATGGTATTCTTTTAGGATGGTGGCTAATCTGCCAGACCCTTTTGGTAATACCAGTTTTCCTTTGAAGTAAAGCAAACCTCCTTTTATCTTGTAATCAAGAAATTTGTCAAGCTGGGTTAATGTCTTATGGATAATGTCTCCACACTTAGGGTCCTTTTCTAATTCCTCCTCTAGTCTTTCCCATTCCTGGCAGGTTACTATGGATAAGGAAATTAGAGTAGGTCTTCTGAAGAAAGCATCAGCCGCCTTGTTCTCAATTCCTAATTGTAGCCCATCAACTTTGTTATCCATTTCTGTTGTTCCTCCCCCATCACCTTTTGCTCAGTGAGATATTTCAAGCTTCTTTGATCTGTGTGGACCTCAAACTTCCTTCCCAGCAAATATGGCCTCCATTTTTGGATGGCTAGTACAATTGCCATCAACTCTTTCTCATATACAGATCTGTTTTTATGTTCGACTGATAGTTCCTTGCTTATATAAGCTATAGGCCTGCCTTCTTGCATTAACACAACTCCCAAACCCCTTCCTGAAGCATCAGTTTCCAGAATGAACATCTTGCTAAAATCAGGATTAATGAGAATGTTGTGTAACAGAAAAATAAAATCAATGGAGTAAACTGTTGCCCAGATAATCAACGATAAAAATACCGTTGCCCAGAGCCAAAAGGCTAAAACCAATTTTATTCCAAGATAATAAGAATGAACCCTGGCGAGGGGTATAAATAGTCTTCTACAAGAAACCCTAATCAAGCCCAAATTAATTAAATCCTAATTAGGCACATACTAACTCTACTATGTACTCTACTAATAAAGGCCCAAACCAAAACATAACATTAACTTGATAATAAATAAACTATAAAGACATCCCGTAACCGGCCCACGGAAGTGGGTCCAAGCCCCGTCCCGCCCCATGCTCTTCCCGCTACCTATCAATTCATCCTCCTTCAAATTAACCTTGTCCTCAAGGTTGAAATCTCGCGGATCGGGGACTGAAATTTCCAGCCATAGAATAGACCGGAAAATATCCTTCATCTCTTTCCCGATCTCTTTCCTGGCTTGTTATTTCAAAGTACTCATGTTGTTGGAGGTCCAACTCTTCATCCTCCTCAGCTATCATTACCCGCAACTGCTTATAGGGACAGTCATGCCCCGGTGTAAATGGTTTCTTACACCTAAAGCATAATCCTTTCGCCCCAATTCTGCGAACTCCTTTGGTGGAAGCCGAGTGAACTGAGAGCGTGTCTTAGGCTACCCGGACAGCCCTGACTTCGTCCCCGGAGGTTGCCCCATGTCTTTAGGAAAGCTGCCATTTGATCCTCTTAAGCTGCCACTACTTATGGTTGTGCTGTTACTACCACTTGGGCGAGAAAAACTGCCTGAACGCAAGTCCGTGTTGTAGGGTTGACTTTCCCAATCTCCATCTTGAAAGGACAAGTTGCCCTCAATATCTCTGGCCAAATCCATTGCAATCTCCAGGCTGTTTGGCCGCAGCAATCGTAAGGATCCCTGAATCGGTCCCTTCAGCCCGTTCATGAAATACCCCAAATAATGATCATCGGACAGCCCAGGAACCTGACTAGCCAACTGCACAAAAAGGTTATTGTATTCTTCTATGGTTCCCAACTGTTTGGCCCTGGACAACTGTTCAAACTGGTTTCCTTTGAACCGTGAATCAAAACGGGCCACCAGTGCATCTGTGAATTCCTCCCAAGTCAGGCCCGATTTCCGTGCCTTCAACCAGGTCAACCAGTACAGGGCAGCCCCTTCCATGACTACCGTAGCTGTTGCCACTTTGCTTCCAGGTAGGGTTTGATGAATTTCAAACTGTTGCTCAGCTCTGGCCGCCCATCCGATGGGATCTTCGCCGCCAAACGAGGGAAGCAGGGCCGCAGCGGTGCTGCGCAACTCTCCGCCTACTGAATGCGCAGATGCGACGTGCGTGGAAGAGCCGTTGTTGCTGGCCGATGTCGGCGACTTCTCCGGGGGTATTATGACCTTCGCGATCGCAGCGAGGGAAGCCGCGATCTCTGCGAGTTGGGCACCATGCTCCTCCAATTTCTGCCCTTGCTCCTCTAATTTCTTCCTTTGCGTGTCGAGTTTCTGATTGATTAGGGTTTGATCGGACTCCAGCTCTGTCAAACGATCGTTCTGAGATCTGTCAAACAATTGTTGTGTAACAGAAAAATAAAATCAACGATAAAAATACCGTAGCCCAGAGCCAAAAGGCTAAAACCAATTTTATTCCAAGATAATAAGAATGAACCCTGGCGAGGGGTATAAATAGCCTTCTACAAGAAACCCTAATCAAGCCCAAATTAATTAAATCCTAGTTAGGCTCATACTAACTCTACTAAGTACTCTACTAATAAAGGCCCAAACCAAAACATAACATTAACTTAATAATAATAAATAAACTATAAAGACAGCCCGTAACCGGCCCGCGGAAGTGGGTCCAAGCCCGGTTCCGCCCCATGCTCTTCCCCCTACCTATCA